ATTGCAGAATGTTGTGGCATCATAACTCACTTTGCTGATTGCATGTTAGTACAGTTTTGGTTTATTATGATTGCAGAATGTTGTGGCATCATAACTCACTTTGCTGTACAGTTTTGGTTTATTATGATTGCCTGATCATGTCATTATAAACATCAAATAAGTTTTAAGATATGATGTTTTACTTTGAAAGTAGATAGATATTGGGACTGTGCAGAGTGTTTTCATATAAGAGATGATGCTATTAAACTTAGTTTAAGATGCAATAAGAGTGTCTCAGAAATGTCCTTCATTAATCTGCTTGTAGCGCTGAGTGGAGCTCATATGAGGCCATTCCCCGCCATATATATTTTCTAGACTGCCTCTTTTATCAAATTAATTGTCTCTTATGCAGTTCGCTAAAGGAAGAATAGAATAAGCCTTGCTAATACTACATGGTTGTTGTAAGTATACATACAACTTATAAAGCCACTTACAGGCTTAAAGGGAAGTTTACTAAACTTGTTGATGAAGACTAAAGACTCTCCCTCTCTCTAAGGAAAGCAATTTCATGATTGCCATTATTGTATCAATAATACAGGGTGGTCAAAAAAAATGGAAACCCTTACACCATTTTCCTCATATATTTGTCATTTTAAGAAATAACTTCCTGATATTTTGTACATTTGTACATCATTCAATTTCCTACCAGCCTACTTCATTTCATGACCATCGAATTGATATTAACAATGTTACAGCACTTTACAGAACAGCCCTAGTGGCCACTATTGTGCTGTCAGGCCACCTGCACTCCCTGTCCAAAATGTCCCTACCTGTAGGGTTATGGCAAGGAAAAAGTGTATGAGAATGACCTCAGGACAATCACAAACCTAAAAAGTGAGATCATCCGTATCATTCAGGCCATACCTGCTGAGGAATGCATTCGGCCCATTGACAACTGTGCAGGTTTGCCTACAGGGCGATGATGGCCAAAATTGAAGCATGTTATTCAAAGTGCTGTAAAATTGTGACTATCAGTCTGATGGTCATGAAATTTGGTAGGGTGGTAGGAAATTGAATGATGTACAAATGTGTGAAATATCAGGGAGTAATTTCTTAAAATGATAAAGATATTAGGAAAATGCAGGGTTTCCATTTATTTTGACCACCCTGTAGATAATAAAAAACTAATGGTCTCTCTATGAAACCTTTTTGCCATCTGATGGTTTCCTTGTCCAGTGGTTTTATTACATATCACTGATTTTATGAACTAGTGTCATGAATGATTTTGATGTAAAATGTTTAGATGTGGTCAACCATATACACCTGTATATATGTCTCGATCACAAGTTCATGTAATTCATATAATTTTTTTATATACAATTAAGTTAAGATTTTATAGTTATCACTGATTTTATGAACTATTATTTTTATGACTATATCTATTAACCTTTACCATGCTGCCTTATTTCAGCAAATATATCCCACGCAACTGGCTTCTTTTTCAAAGAGTGCAAAAAATGATATGCCTGGACTAAATAATTGATATCTCAATAACTACTGAATGAATCTGGATAAAATTTTCACAAAGGGAAGATACAGTGGCCTGGCTCATGAAAAAAATGTTCTTATGAATATTTTTCGTACAATAACATGACTGGGCATAAATATACCATGAATACTCCTCCGAAATCCGCCACTCCGCCCCTTCGTCTGGTCAGAATTCAAATCTGAATTTGCAGCGATCGAATGTTCAATTTTTCAATTCAGAAAATATTCTAGATTCTATTTTCGATGACCATTATCGGCTTCCAAGAGCCTAAAGAGCTTGAAATCGTAGTTCATTTCCTCCACATTTTCGTTGTGATCGCAGAATGTTGCGGCATCATAACTCACTTTGCTGATTGCATGTTAGTACAGTTTTGGTTTATTATGATTGCAGAATGTTGTGGCATCATAACTCACTTTGCTGATTGCATGTTAGTACAGTTTTGGTTTATTATGATTGCAGAATGTATTGGCATCATAACTCACTTTGCTGATTGCATGTTAGTACAGTTTTGGTTTATTATGATTGCAGAATGTTGTGGCATCATAACTCACTTTGCTGATTGCATGTTAGTACAGTTTTGGTTTATTATGATTGCAGAATGTTGTGGCATCATAACTCACTTTGCTGTACAGTTTTGGTTTATTATGATTGCCTGATCATGTCATTATAAACATCAAATAAGTTTTAAGATATGATGTTTTACTTTGAAAGTAGATAGATATTGGGACTGTGCAGAGTGTTTTCATATAAGAGATGATGCTATTAAACTTAGTTTAAGATGCAATAAGAGTGTCTCAGAAATGTCCTTCATTAATCTGCTTGTAGCGCTGAGTGGAGCTCATATGAGGCCATTCCCCGCCATATATATTTTCTAGACTGCCTCTTTTATCAAATTAATTGTCTCTTATGCAGTTCGCTAAAGGAAGAATAGAATAAGCCTTGCTAATACTACATGGTTGTTGTAAGTATACATACAACTTATAAAGCCACTTACAGGCTTAAAGGGAAGTTTACTAAACTTGTTGATGAAGACTAAAGACTCTCCCTCTCTCTAAGGAAAGCAATTTCATGATTGCCATTATTGTATCAATAATACAGGGTGGTCAAAAAAATGGAAACCCTTACACCATTTTCCTCATATATTTGTCATTTTAAGAAATAACTTCCTGATATTTTGTACATTTGTACATCATTCAATTTCCTACCAGCCTACTTCATTTCATGACCATCGAATTGATATTAACAATGTTACAGCACTTTACAGAACAGCCCTAGTGGCCACTATTGTGCTGTCAGGCCACCTGCACTCCCTGTCCAAAATGTCCCTACCTGTAGGGTTATGGCAAGGAAAAAGTGTATGAGAATGACCTCAGGACAATCACAAACCTAAAAAGTGAGATCATCCGTATCATTCAGGCCATACCTGCTGAGGAATGCATTCGGCCCATTGACAACTGTGCAGGTTTGCCTACAGCGCGATGATGGCCAAAATTGAAGCATGTTATTCAAAGTGCTGTAAAATTGTGACTATCAGTCTGATGGTCATGAAATTTGGTAGGGTGGTAGGAAATTGAATGATGTACAAATGTGTGAAATATCAGGGAGTAATTTCTTAAAATGATAAAGATATTAGGAAAATGCAGGGTTTCCATTTATTTTGACCACCCTGTAGATAATAAAAAACTAATGGTCTCTCTATGAAACCTTTTTGCCATCTGATGGTTTCCTTGTCCAGTGGTTTTATTACATATCACTGATTTTATGAACTAGTGTCATGAATGATTTTGATGTAAAATGTTTAGATGTGGTCAACCATATACACCTGTATATATGTCTCGATCACAAGTTCATGTAATTCATATAATTTTTTTATATACAATTAAGTTAAGATTTTATAGTTATCACTGATTTTATGAACTATTATTTTTATGACTATATCTATTAACCTTTACCATGCTGCCTTATTTCAGCAAATATATCCCACGCAACTGGCTTCTTTTTCAAAGAGTGCAAAAAATGATATGCCTGGACTAAATAATTGATATCTCAATAACTACTGAATGAATCTGGATAAAATTTTCACAAAGGGAAGATACAGTGGCCTGGCTCATGAAAAAAATGTTCTTATGAATATTTTTCGTACAATAACATGACATGGCATAAATATACCATGAATACTCCTCCGAAATCCGCCACTCCGCCCCTTCGTCTGGTCAGAATTCAAATCTGAATTTGCAGCGATCGAATGTTCAATTTTTCAATTCAGAAAATATTCTAGATTCTATTTTCGATGACCATTATCGGCTTCCAAGAGCCTAAAGAGCTTGAAATCGTAGTTCATTTCCTCCACATTTTCGTTGTGATCGTATTTGTCCGCCATTTTGTACGATTTGTTCACTTAAAACGACTAAAACACTGTTTAAATTTTTAGGTCAACAGGAAGTCATGTTAGGCACTGAATAAATCGGGCAATCTAATTGGACAATACGAATGGCGTGAAAAAGTAAAGTTTTTAAAAGTTTGAAATTGGGCGTACGGGTCCGCCGGCAGTTGTGAGAGACATTTTAGTCTCGGCAGACGTGTTCGCCGGCAGTACGCTAAAGGTTAAGGCCTATACATGGTTTGATCCATCTGATATGATTCTATTCTAAGTAACCCTCAAAAGCAAATTGGAATAATATAAAGAAAATCAATGAATATTATTATTTTTATTCACCTTTAACGATGGCACACCTCAAGGGGTGCAATACAGATAATTAAAATCAATCTACTCGTATATGTTATATAAATATTGAGGAGAACACTTTATTGTTTACGTTGTTTTATGTTTGATAAATAATCCAAACAGGCTAAATTATTTTATGCATTGCGTAATCATATTTTGTCTTTTTAAATAAGCTACCAAATAGGTCAAAAATTAAATCATTTAAGCATGCAAAAGTTGAGTCGATATTCACACAAAGCTAGGCAAGGTATATCCGATTCTCAGCACACAATGCACTGAGTGCTTAAATCCTTAAACGTTGAATTAGATAAGAAAAACTCCTCTGCTAGCAAGTGTTATTTTACTTATTTTACTATTCCTCAAAAAGGCCATTTTTGTGTTTTGATTTTTGCTATAACTGAAAAAAGTAGAAGAAGGATTTTGAAAAATGGCTGCCATTTACACGTACATGGATGCGATTTTGTTGAAATTTTATATGTGCCTACTTAGAAGCATATTACACTTCCGTATGACAATTTGGCTAGTGAGCATCATTTTGAAAATGGTGGCCATTTTTATGTTTGTTATTTTATGATTTTTGCTATAACTGAAAAAAGTAGAAGAAGGATTTTGTAAAAATGGCAGCCATGGCTGTTCGATGGGATTTTCTACACTTTGGCATTGCTGTTATCTAGTTTAAGCATACTAAAGAATAACCACTTCTCGTAACATAATTAAATTGGTGTTTTGTTCCTTGTGTACTTTCAGTATCGCATTGGTCAATTATACATGATTGCAAAACATAGCCACGAGCAGAGTGAGAATGGAGAGGGAGTTGAGGTTGTGAAGAATGAACCCTGTGAACATGAAGAATATGGTAAAGGCCAATTTACTGAGAAGCGTATACATCTCTCAAGGTGAGCTTATATATTGTTTAGTTTCACCGAACATAAAAAGAAAGTGCCAAATATTTCTATTGCAATCCTAATTTTATTCCCCCAGGCTACCCACTTCATTCTTACAAAAGCATTATATGTAGTTTTTATTATTTATTTTTATGAGTCTTGTTTCAAGTTACGAAGTTATCATTATACAGCTGATGTCAGGAAAATGGGAATTTGCTGGGAAAATTCATAGAATAGATTGTGAACTTTGAATTTTTTAATTAAAATTTCATTTATAAACTCATTTCAATGAAATACAGAATCAGTTTCAAAATATAGAAGTATCCCTCAAATTCATTGCTTAAGTACCCATTGGAGTACAAACTTTAAACACACCCTGTACTTACACCCTGTAGTCTTACTGACTAATTTCCTTTTCAATTTCCCATTTTGATAAGAAATCAACCAAGTTTTCCAAAGTTAATGCTATCTTATAAACAACCATAATTAAATTATATTTGAAACACTAAAGTTGTCATAATTTGGTTGCTATTTTTGTTTTATTGATTCTTATCATGTGAATTGACAGTCCATGACTTTTAATCTTTATAAGTTAATTACATTTACTGAGCTGTGTTAAATGAGAAAAATTGAACATTTATCAGCAATGTGACATGTTAATCTATTCATTAATTATCCCATCGAAAGAAGTTCGGAGGGATATAGGGCCAACACCTCCATTCAGTGCCTGTCAGGCTGTCAGTCCGTCCGTCCGTCCATCCGTCCTTTCCGTCCGTCTGTCCATCCTTTCCGTCCGTCCATCCTTTCCATCAGTCCGTCCTTTCTGTCCGTCCGTCGGTCCTTTCCGTCTGTCCGTCCGTCCTTTCCATCCGTCCGTCTGTCCGTTAATATAGTTCAGGAACCCAGTTATGTCTTATTTATTATCCATGCAGGGAAGGGGAGTGTTTCCATGGACTAAAACATTAAACCCACCTATGCACAGTCACAAGCCTGAGGAACCTGCTTTTATATATAATGTGGGTTTTTATTTTACCATTCATGACTTAAATATTAATATGGGTATTTCCCATAATTAAGATAATACTGGATTTTAAACTTACCAAATATGACTTTAATATTTATATGGGTTAAAACCTATAATAAATTAAATACTGGATATGACAAATAAATAAAACCAATTATTATCTACCTACATACAAGACATTACAAGACATACTTTTGGTCAATAACTCAAATACCATTGGCCCGATTTCATTCATACTTTGTACACATATTCCCTATGGGAACTTCTGCTCGAAAGCTGATTTTCAAACTCTTGAAAAATGGCGGCCTTTTCATGATTTTTTACGCTTTTTGCTGTAACTTGAAAAGTAGTGGAGCAATGGTAGAGTGATTTTGTTCATATTTGATATGTGAAAACTTTAAGCGTGGCACACTGACTAATGACACTTTTGGAAGAAGGCAGCCATCTTATTTTAACGTTTTTTTTTACTTTAACTCGAAAATTAGTGGAGCGATGGAGCGATTTTATTCATATTTGTTATGTGAATACTAAAAGCATGGCACACTGTCTAATGACATGTACCTGTGTGCAGTTTAGTAAGTTGCCTACTTAGAAGCATATTACACTTTCTGATGACAGTTTGGCTATAGTGAGCTATATATTTCATTTGTAAAAATGCCAGCCATGGCTGTTCGATAGGATTTGCTACGCTTTGGCGTTGCTGTTGTTTAGTTAAATTAATTAATTTAAAGGCAGAATTGGATCTAGCAAGTACTGTGATTACTTTGGTGCTCCATCTTGAGAAAATTATTCCAATTTTAGAATATTTTGGGCTCATATCATTCCTTGTCTATTTCTAAATAAAAGCTGAAGTATATACTTTATTTGAGGAAAACTAAAGATTTTTACAATAATGCAATCATTTGGCTATAAGAATGCAGGGGCATCAGAAGGATTTGCCAAGAGGGGGGGCTACTTTTGGATATGGATGGTTCGTGCGCAAAGTGCAAGGTAGTCTGAGAGTTTGCCCCCCAGAAAATTTTCATCCAGCCAAACGAATTCAAGGGGAACATAGGAAAGCTGTCCGTCCATTCGTCCGCCCATCCGTTCGTCCCTCTGTCCGGACAATAACTCAAATACTGGTTGTCGGATTTGATTCAAATTTTATAGGCTTATTTCTTATCGGGGTAGGACCCCTGCTCGAGAAAGAATTTTCAAAATGGCCGCTTAATTAAAAATGGTGGACATTTTTTGGAAAATATATAATCTTTGATAACTCAAATATTAGTAGATAGATTTGGTTCAAATTTTGTATGCTGTTGCCTTGGTACAAAGGACCTTTACTCATGAATACATTTGCAAGATGGCCACTTTATTTCAGAATGGCCAACATTATTTTGAAATTGCCATTTTTAAGATGGTCGCTGAATTTCAAAATGGCCACCATTTTTCATAAAAAAACATAATCATTGATAACGCAAATACCAGTGGATTGATTTGGTTCCAATTTTATATGCTAATGTGTAGAAAGAAGGAGATCTGCTTCAGAAGAAATTTCAAAGGCATCAGCTAAATTTCAAAATGGCTGCCTTTTTCCATGAAAAGTGTAATCTTTCATAACTCAAATACCAGTGGATGGATTTACTCCAAATTTTATATACTGATGCCTAGAGATAAAGGAGCTCTGCTTGAGGAGAAATTTTCAAGGTGGCTGCTGTTTATCAAAATCTCCGCCATTTTTTTCATTAAACATGTAATCCTTGATAACTCCAGTACCATGCAGTTGACAGATTTGAAATTAAATTTTGTATGCTGATGCCTATACTAGGGACATAGGAGCTCTGCTAAAGAAATTTTAAAGATGACTGCTGAATTTCAAAATGGCAACCATGTTTCATAAAAAAATAATCTTCGATAACTCAAGTTGATGGGTTTGGCTAAAGTCTAATATGGCTGCTATTATTATATTGGAGCTTGTAAGCAATATGTTGGTAGATCAATTGTTCATATTGCTTGCAATTTTGTCACTCATATAGATCTGATTCTGCCTTTAATATACTTTGAAAGAAAATGATGAAATGAATTGAAACAACAGGAAGTTTTATCAATAGGTAGGTAAGTACACTAAGTATGCAAAGGCAAAGAGAAAAATAACATTTTTCCAGAGAAAAATAACCCTAGTATACCTAAAAAACATAAAAATGATGACTTCAGGCAGAAGCATATTGACAAGATTATTATGGACATCAAGTGGCATGTGATCAATCATTTCTAATTTAGATAAAGTGTGCAACCACCTCATCAAGGAATGCACTAATGAGCGTGTTGCTGTCTTCCCACAGAGCATAACCGGGCCGTACCTCTGAATCAATGAAGAACTTGGATATTATTTTGAAATAGAAAATTGAATGAAAAGGGTCGAATCAGAAAGGGATTGAAGGGTTGTAGCCAACTGTTATACAGAGTCCCTCCTTTTAGCGGCTACTAAAACAAGAGATTGTGTGCAGTGAAGCAATGCACTGATAGAAAAGCATTTTTTCCTTTGAATGGAACAAGTTAGAAGAAAATAGGTGCAGTATGAGACTCACAATCCTTGATTTTCAAACACCTGATAGGTCTAAAATTCAAATTTACAGTCCTGGTTGGCACTGCATGATAATCGTCATGGTTTTAGTAAGAAACATGTCAAAATATATTTTTCTCTAACATTTTAGTGAGATGCTTGCCTTGCCTTACTTCTGACTAGCTACACTCAATCAATCAATCTTTTTCCAAGAAAATTTTTTTATCCCAGCTTCTCAAATATGTCTCAATATGTACCAGAGCCACCAGTCACAGGAGACAAGATATTTTTTTATAGCCTCATAGACCAAGCTCAAAATATATTTTTACATTAGGCCTAATCAGTATTTATTAATATTTTTATTTAGTCAAGAATTTATGTTTGGTTCCTAACTAGTTTCATCCTCCCTTCATATCAACTGATGTCATGTAGTCTTAGGATGGAATGTTATTAGTTTGATAAAATTAATTTATATGAAGATAGCTTAATATGTCTGCTCTGTTAGGATGCTTTTAATGAACAAGCGAGGTATAAATTGAAGGTATTTTTTGATGTTTGATGTGTTCAAGGGGTATTCAAACATCATTAATATTGTAAACAGCAAAGTTTGATCAAGTCAAAAACAATGGCAGTACAATGTCCTAGTATTGTGATTCTAGTTAATAAAACAGAATATTTGAATCATATAGAATAAAGATAATCGCAATATGAAGCTTGTTTTAGCTTGTATTCGTGAATGCAACACCTGTCGGCTACCAGATTTACCTTATATCTCATTTAAATATGAATAGAATAGTGGCAGGTTCTATTCATATTTAAATGAGTTGCCCTTAAAGTAGCAGGTAAATCCGGTACCCGCCAGGCATTAGTTATATTTGGGAATACACACTAAATGTTCTATAAGTCACCAGCTCACATTGTCTAAAATACAAATGTGAAACCAGCTAGTCTCGGAGGTATTTTTCATTGTATGTATTGTAATGTATGTTGAGATTTCCTGTGTTTTTAAGTCCCACTGATATATATTTCCAGTCGATTACCTAGCTGGATCCGGTCAGTCATACCTAATGTATTCTATGTGACAGAGAAAGCCTGGAACTACTATCCATTCACCATAACAGGTGAGTCCATGTCAAATGGGAATACCAGTGCAAACAACATGATAATAGGCACATGAAATTATTATTATATTGTAATAGGCATAATATCAAATCTGAAATCCAACCAATTTATGCCTTGGTCACATTTGCTCATATCATCGGCCGGCGCCCCAGCCGATTGAGTATTCTGTTCAAAACTGAATACAATTATGAATAGGCCGATGAATCGGAGCAAATGTGACCCAGGCATTACTGTATAAAGGCTTTATATAAAGCTTTTACTACACTAACCTTGTATTCGCGAATGCTTGCATTGTTGTTGCATAGCCTTGCATTTGCCTATTACAAACGAAGGCTATGCAACAAGTTATTTACATTATGCCCCATTAGGTAAAAATCTATTTTATTGGTTCATGTATTTAGATGCAGTAAATTAATAATGAAGCCTTAGAATCACTTATTATTTATTAAAATATGTTTTGACAGACATGCCAGGATGGTCCCTTTGGGAAATACAGTCAGTTCACTAATTGCTTTATGTGAATTAAAGACCATCAGCTCAATTGCATTCATTTTTTAACAATCGCTTTAGATATTGTTCCCTTTCAGTTCAATAATAGAGCATATACCACTGTACTACCTTTGCTGCCAATGATGATTCTTCTTAAAAGTCAATGTGCCAGTAAATAGCAATTTGAAAATGAATCCAATGTTACAAGGAATATTGTTAAGATATTTTAGTTGAATCGAAACTATTAACATTAAGTAGTATTATTGTGATATGCAGTATGTTGTTTCTCACCAATACTAAAATAGCGCGTCGTCGTGATGTTTTAATCGATGTAAACATATTCCTTACATATTTCTTTATCTTGATGTGAAAAACCAAGCTATGATATTGGTTAATACGCCAGGAATCAACATGATATTATTCGAAGCGTTATTAGAAAATTTTGAATCCGCCATTTTTGTTTATCGATTTGGACCAATCAGAGGTATATGTCATCTCAATACAGGTTTACATTATAAGCGTATGTCATCTTTGAACTCTGGGGTTAATCCCCCTCTTGAATGAAAGAGGACTTTCAAAATGGCCGCTCGTTTAAGAATAGTGGCCATTTTAGTGCCGATTTTAAGTACAATATATGAAACGGTAATAGCAAAATGTTTTAAAAGTAAAAAAGTTACATAGGACATTAATAAAGCTAGTTAATGTAGATATTTAAGAAACACATGGCAGCCATCTTGAAAAATGGCAGCCTTTACACATTATTTTACGATTTTTTAATGGTTAAATTTTTACGTGTGTTATATTAAAAAAGTAATAAAGCTATTTTATTCATATTTGATATGTAAATACTCATAAGCATGGCACACTGTTTTATGAAACTTTTGCTCGAAGGTGGCCACCATATTTATGTGTATTATTTTATGTTTTTTTACCTTAACCCAAATCACGGTCCACATCCCGCTCCATATGATATGGTCCGTTTGTGTGCACAAGATCCGACCATACCGCCTCTATAGGGAGGAAATTCGGAGGTGAGTTTTATTATTAGAGTATTCTTTGAGTTTACATTTATACTGCGCGATTTAAATTGATAAATATATGAATATTAAATTGAAAAAAGTTGTCTAAGTATTTGAATGCTCAAAAACATTGGATTTATTTGTGGTGACGACATACATGCGGAGAGAGTTAGTTTCTGCTTCCTTATCGTCATTTACATGTCAAATATACTTCATTGTGGTATATTATGTAAATCAAATGAAGCCTTTGTATATATTGATCGATGAAATAACGCCAATTGAATGTTTCTTGGTATATACCCATTTTAAAATAGTCAAAAGCAAATTAGAAGAGGATCCGACTCTGCAGGTTAAATTTTTAGAATGGATCCGACCCACGCGCGTTTCTCTTACGATCCTACCGTGTTTCATTTCCGACCCTACCGTGTTTTGAGCTCCATATTGTCATGTTTTGAACCAATAAATACCATGAACATATTTTAAAGTTACCATACTAAATCCATGGAAGTTAATATATCTATTACACTAGAGTCAGTGTATTAAAGCTCAATAGCTAATTATGGTTGTTTATCTTTTCTAGATGTCGTTAAAAGTGCCGATACAGAATGAAACGGACACTTATTTAGACGAAAATAAAAATGAACTACCATCGACATCCACACCCAAAAGCCAACTTATTCTCATAAATTATCCAGTCGTCCAAACAGACCAGTTCATGTTGAAACGGATGGCATATACAAAAATAAATTATATGATACAATGATTGTATATATGCATGCCGATTTGAATATATTTTTTGTATACGTAAAACACGAATTGGTCGAATTTTTTCACACGAAAAGATTTTTTCAGTTCATTATACATCATTTCAAATTATATTGCAGTTACACAGTTCGCTGCCTAGCGCAATTTGCATTACAGGCTAGCGTTTTGGAATGAACATAAATCAAATTAATTGAGTGAGTTATACATACAATTGTGCTAACTTAATGGTGAAAAGTATGTCAGAATAAAATGGGTTAGGCCAAGCTAAGAATAAAATCAACGAGCCTTCCTTTTAATCGAGAATCCTGTTCAATTGAAAATGAAAATGAAAATAAAAAATTCAGTTTTGTCTTGTTCAATTAGATGGGTCTCAAGATTTTGCTGCCCAAGGGTTTCTTAAAGGTTTTTTCTTTGGGTTGAATGGCGCTTACATTGCAGAATCGAGTGTTTGGGAGTTGTACTCTTACCACAGACAATTAGATTAGCTGTGTTAGGGAAATCATGAGCAATCTTTTGTGATTCAAATTAGAGTCCGCATCTAATTCTGTTCAAGAAAATTTCTTGTTTTCGAGAAAGATTGAGTTTAGAAGTTGTATTGAAGTCATTAAACTTTCAAGATTTGTTTCTGATTTTACTTTTGAACAAAGAGATGGTGGGAATAGACTGGAGATAACCTATTCCATTCAGAGATCAATCTTAGCACTGGGGCATTAATTAGTCGTGCAAAGAACACGAAAAGATGGAACTATTAACAGGACATGGTCGGAGTCCCCAAATTATCCTCACACGACTCGAGTTTTAAACCACATTTTCATGTACTTTTGTGATGTATTACGTCATGTTTGTTTATCAGTCGCATGCATTAATGCATGTACTTTATAAATTGCACGAAATTAGATATGTACGGTAATATAAAAGAATTATTGCAATTGAAGTGTATTCTGTCGTGAAAAGTCTATGTTCGACCGATTTTCACCTATGAAGGCTTGATATTTTTTCTTGCTTTCTTCATGAATGCATAAGTAATTATGTTGCCTATAGTTAACCATTCACAAAATATCAAAATTCGCTCTGTTTCCTACTTTTTCCTGACATTTTGTCAATTTTGGCCTCTTTGTCTCACGAAGGGATCGTATTCTAGCACACGAACAGACCATATCATACGGAGCGGGATGTGGACCGTGCAAATAGTAATTGATTGATTTTGTTCATATTTGATATGTGAATATTCAGAAGCTTGGCATACTGTCTTATGACACTTTGGCTAGTAGTTTGGCCATTTTAATAATAGCCGCCATTTACATGTACATGTGGGTGACTTTGTTTTGTAAATTTTATATGTGCCTACTTAAAAGCATATTACAGTCTCTTAGCGACCATTTTTAAATATGTTGGCCATTTTTATGTGTGTTATTTTATGATTTTTGCTGTAACTGAAAAAGTAGTAGAAGGATTTTGTTAAAATGCCAGAGCCATGTCTGTTCGATGGGATTTGCTACATATTGCTGTTGTCTAGTTATTATTTCTTGCAGTGAATTTAATTGAAATAAGAATTTTCTATAAATTGTTCATTATATAATAGCATTAAAGTTTAACCATTTTTGAGATATTTGACGTCAAAAAATGGTCAAATCAAGTCACTTTTCATCTTGCTTCAATCCAACCAATTTTTTAAAAAATCATCTGCAAATTGCCAGGATTCCATATCTGACCTTAGATTTGAGTATTGACATTTAGTTGACCTTCTGTGACCTTCGAAAGGTAAAATATGTTGATTTTTCAAATTAATTACATGTATTCAACTTTAGGTCAGCTTAATTACAAAATTCCCACTGATGTCTGAAAAATTAAAATTTTAAAAGTCAAGGTCATCGAGTTAGGTGACAAACTGTGCTATCTAAGTTTCTCAAAGTTTGAGACTACAAATCAACATTTTTAATTAAAAGTCAGCATATGCATTCCTCTAAGGGTTCTACATATACGAGCAATTGACTATCTATTAAAATTTTGTGCAAAGTTTGAAATATAAGAGCTTAAAAACTGTAAAAAGTTTAAATTTCGAAATTTTTCAAGACAAAATTTCAACTTTGGATTGGTATAGATATGATGAACTTTTGAGCACACGTTTCTCTTAAACCAGTCATCAAAAAAAAAAATTTCTATATTGTTCGAGAAAACTCATCAGACACTTCATTTGTTCTTGGTATCATATTTTTGGAATGAAATGAAACATCTATCTGAACCTCTTTGGAACAAAATGAAATAAACACAATGTGTTTAGGTCTCTCAATATTGTAACTGTACAAAGTAAAGTTTAATTCATTCAAAAAAGTATCTTGTTAATGAAATAAAATCTTAATTTTTATATATTTTGGCGATTTTTGTTTTAATTTTTTGAATATTATTTGTTAAATCAACCAAACTTTCCTTTCATTAACTGTAATATTGAGAGGTCTAAGAAAATGTATATGCTATCTTGTTCCAATAAGGTTCAGAAAGATATTTTATTTCATTCTCAAGAATTGGTAGAAAGGAAAAAACAATTGCACTAAAACAAACAAAAAAAAATTAACAAAAACACTTATATAAAATATATATAAATAATTTTTGCATTTAAACTGTTGTCAATCAGTCAACATTACATCAAGGACCGTTTTTTTTACAGAATGTTTTCAATAATTGGTTTAAGAGAAAAACATTGTTGAATTCAGTTCACGATATCGATACCAATCCTTTACCAAACTTTTTTATCATATATTAGTTCTTGGGAGTTAACATTTGATCTCAAATTGAGATTTGACCTTTAGTTGACCTTCAAGTTGTCAAAAATGCCTTGAAGACCTCAGTGAAACTGCTTGCAACCTTAACTGCCTGGTTTATTTTTATTTGCTTTGACTAATTATTGTCACTGTGGAAATATTTAAGTGAATTAATCATCCATTATTTGGCTTTTGAATTCAGTGTGAAAGTAATTTATTACATATACATGTGATTTTATACATTTTCACCATGCTAATTTAATGCTAATTTAATAATGGTCTTACATTGTACTAATTCTTTTTGCATGTTTCTTGTTGCTGTGTCCCGGTGCTGACTGAAACCTTCCTGTATCCCTATGTCTTACAGAATATACAGTAAGTCCATATTTAACCATTATTATTTATATACTAGTATCAAACCGGAATAGCCTGACTATGGTAAAGTCAGATACCGTTGTCACAAATGGCAGACATCACCGTCGCTTCAATTGTTTAATCACTTGGTCCTCATATCATGGGATTTTATCGTCGCTAATTCTGTGCATGCATTAAGCTCTTGTGATAATGTATCTTATGAAATCCCATTTTCGATCAAATTGGGTCGTGAATCGCCACAATATAGCGTCTTCTATATCTTCAATGACAACAGAATCTGAATTTGAGTAATTTAGAAAGACAACGGCATATGGTAATTACAGTGCTCCTTGTTCCGTATCTCATTTTGATCGGTTAAATTAAAGACTTTATTTCGATGGTAGAACATTATTAACTGTACAATAAGTATTAAGACACTTTGATTGATTGTTGTTCCAAAGGAATTTAGTCTAGGTGCTCTATTAAACATACAGTTCATGAAAATCTAATTGAAGTGACGGTTATGTCCGCCATTTGTGACAATGGTATCTAACTTTACTGTAGTCAGGCTATTCCAGGGTGAGTATACCACTGGACTTGTTATTAATTTAAAGTCCTTTTCACTGTTTCTCTTCGTCAATCAAATCTAAAAAATAGAACTGACACTGAATGCAACTGTCACTTACCTACCAGTATTTAGTATACAGTCATGCATTTAACCATATCAACTTTGTTTTGTCAACCATGACTCTTAATAAGAAATAAGTGAAGAAATGTTGTTTAAATTTTGCAGCCATAACTTCTGCTTCAGAACACATTTTCGAAATACTGCTGTTTAAAATCATATGTTAATTTAACAATTATTTCTTCGTCTAAAATATTGTAATCTAGGTTGTTCTATCAATTATTATCCCATATAGAGAACAGCAATTTCTGTACATATGTCCGTTAGTACATCCATCTGGCAATAAATCAAAAACCATTGAACCAATATTGTTTTTATTTTATACGTTCGTATGTTTAAAATGCAAAAAGTATATAGAATATTGACTAAGTTGAAAATCCAAATATTTAAAAATTGATGGCCATCTTGAAAAATGGTGGCCATCTCACATGGGATGGGATTGTGTAATCTTCTCTCTTGATTTGGGGATTTCAAGATTTGTAGTTTTACAATTTATTGATTGCTTTGGTACTTTCCTAAAGACCATTGCTTATTTATTAAATAATTTGGAAAATTGGTCACACCAAAATGGAAACCCAGTGGGTGTTTGTGAAATCAATCTTTTCTTGCAGTAAATAGTAATATAGGACACATTTTCAACCAGAACACCTGGGAATAGGACAGTCTGTCTTAATTGAGAATCAACACCAAGCATCACCAATATATTACTATCCCCATGTTGCTGACTTTCGAATTAGAAACCATGTTACAAAACATTTCCAATTGAATTACTAACAAATGGCTCCATAGGGGACATTAATAAATAATTTTGTGTTGCTATAGCTCAGACATGTACATGCTATACAGAATAGCAATTTGTTTTATCACAATCTGAGGGAGATGGTCATCATTTGTATGAAAGATGACCTTTGATATAATAGTGGCAAGTTGTCATTAGACAATATCACCCTCTCATATGAATCTGAGGGAGATGGTCATCATTTGTATGAGAGATGACCTTTGATATAATAGTGGCAAGTTGTCATTAGACAATATCACCCACTCATATGAATCTGAGGGAGATGGTCATCATTTGTATGAAGGTGACCTTTGATATAATAGTGGCAAGTTGTCATTAGACAATATCACCCTCTTATATGAATCTGAGGGAGATGGTCATTATTTGTATGAAAGATGACCTTTGATATAATAGTGGCGAGTTGTCATTAGACAATATCACCCTCTCATATGAATCTGAGGGAGATGGTCATCATTTGTATGAAAGATGACCTTTGATATAATTGTGGCAAGTTGTCATTAGACAATATCACCCTCTCATATGAATCTGAGGGAGATGGTCATCATTTGTATGAAAGATGACCTTTGATATAATATTGGCGAGTTGTCATTAGACAATATCACCCTCTCATATGAATCTGAGGGAGATGGTCATCATTTGTATGAAAGATGACCTTTGATATAATAGTGGCAAGTTGTCATTAGACAATATCACCCTCTCATATGAATCTGAGGGAGATGGTCATCATTTGTATGAGAGATGACCTTTGATATAATAGTGGCAAGTTGTCATTAGACAATATCACCCACTCATATGAATCTGAGGGAGATGTTCATCATTTGTATGAAAGATGACCTTTGATATAATAGTGGCAAGTTGTCATTAGACAATATCACCCACTCATATGAATCTGAGGGAGATGGTCATTATTTGTATGAAAGATGACCTTTGATATGATAGTGGCAAGTTGTCATTAGACAATATCACCCTCTCATATGAATCTGAGGGAGATGGTCATCATTTGTATGAAAGATGACCTTTGATATAATAGTGGCAAGTTGTCATTAGACAATATCACCCACTCATATGAATCTGAGGGAGATGGTCATCATTTGTATGAAAGATGACCTTTGATATAATAGTGGCAAGTTGTCATTAGACAATATCACCCACTCATATGAATCTGAGGGAGATGGTCATCATTTGTATGAGAGATGACCTTTGATATAATAGTGGCGAGTTGTCATTAGACAATATCACCCACTCATATGAATCTGAGGGAGATGGTCATCATTTGTATGAAAGATGACCTTTGATATAATAGTGGCAAGTTGTCATTAGACAATATCACCCACTCATATGAATCTGAGGGAGATGGTCATCATTTGTATGAAATATGACCTTTGATATAATAGTGGCGAGTTGTCATTAGACAATATCACCCTCTCATAAGAATCTGAGGGAGATGGTCATCATTTGTATGAGAGATGACCTTTGATATAATAGTGGCAAGTTGTCATTAGACAATATCACCCTCTCATATGAATCTGAGGGAGATGGTCATCATTTGTATGAGAGATGACCTTTGATATAATAGTGGCAAGTTGTCATTAGACAATATCACCCTCTCATATGAATCTGAGGGAGATGGTCATCATTTGTATGAGAGATGACCTTTGATATAATAGTGGCAAGTTGTCATTAGACAATATCACCCACTCATATGAATCTGAGGGAGATGGTCATCATTTGTATGAGAGATGACCTTTGATATAATAGTGGCGAGTTGTCATTAGACAATATCACCCTCTCATATGAATCTGAGGGAGATGGTCATCATTTTTATGAAAGATGACCTTTGATATAATAGTTGCGAGTTGTCATTAGACAATATCACCCACTCATATGAATCTGAGGGAGATGGTCATCATTTGTATGAAAGATGACCTTTGATATGATAGTGGCAAGTTGTCATTAGACAATATCACCCTCTCATATGAATCTGAGGGAGATGGTCATCATTTGTATGAGAGATGACCTTTGATATAATAGTGGCAAGTTGTCATTAGACAATATCACCCACTCATATGAATCTGAGGGAGATGGTCATCATTTGTATGAAAGATGACCTTTGATATAATAGTGGCGAGTTGTCATTAGACAATATCACCCTCTCATATGAATCTAAGGGAGATGGTCATCATTTGTATGAAAGATGACCTTTGATATAATTGTGGCAAGTTGTCATTAGACAATATCACCCTCTCATATGAATCTGAGGGAGATGGTCATCATTTGTATGAAAGATGACCTTTGATTTAATAGTGGCAAGTTGTCATTAGACAATATCACCCTCTCATATGAATCTGAGGGAGATGGTCATCATTTGTATGAAAGATGACCTTTGATATAATAGTGGCGAGTTGTCATTAGACAATATCACCCTCTCATATGAATCTGAGGGAGATGGTCATCATTTGTATGAAAGATGACCTTTGATATAATAGTGGCGAGTTGTCATTAGACAATATCACCCTCTCATATGAATCTGAGGGAGATGGTCATCATTTGTATGAGAGATGACCTTTGATATAATAGTGGCAAGTTGTCATTAGACAATATGACCCACTCATATGAATCTGAGGGAGATGGTCATCATTTGTATGAGAGATGACCTTTGATATAATAGTGGCAAGTTGTCATTAGACAATATCACCCTCTCATATGAATCTGAGGGAGATGGTCATCATTTGTATGAAAGATGACCTTTGATATAATAGTGGCGAGTTGTCATTAGACAATATCACCCTCTCATATGAATCTGAGGGAGATGGTCATCATTTGTATGAAAGATGACCTTTGATATAATTGTGGCAAGTTGTCATTAGACAATATCACCCTCTCATATGAATCTGAGGGAGATGGTCATCATTTGTATGAAAGATGACCTTTGATATAATAGTGGCAAGTTGTCATTAGACAATATCACCCACTCATATGAATCTGAGGGAGATGGTCATCATTTGTATGAAAGATGACCTTTGATATAATAGTGGCAAGTTGTCATTAGACAATATCACCCTCTCATATGAATCTGAGGGAGATGGTCATCATTTGTATGAGAGATGACCTTTGATATAATAGTGGCAAGTTGTCATTAGACAATATCACCCTCTCATATGAATCTGAGGGAGATGGTCATCATTTGCATGAGAGATGACCTTTGATATAATAGTGGCAAGTTGTCAGTAGACAATATCACCCACTCATATGAATCTGAGGGAGATGGTCATCATTTGTATGAAAGATGACCTTTGATATAATAGTGGCAAGTTGTCATTAGACAATATCACCCACTCATATGAATCTGAGGGAGATGGTCATCATTTGTATGAAAGATGACCTTTGATATAATAGTGGCAAGTTGTCATTAGACAATATCACCCTCTCATATGAATCTGAGGGAGATGGTCATCATTTGTATGAAAGATGACCTTTGATATAATAATGGCAAGTTGTCATTAGACAATATCACCCACTCATATGAATCTGAGGGAG